GACAACTTCTTTGGATTTGGCTAGACTGTGGCGTTTGTTGAGGCTTGGATATTTGGTTATTGGTACCATGCATTGTTTGTTGAGGAGTGCTTTAACCTGTAGTTTGAAGTTCTATAAACACATTAGAATGAGCGAGAAGATCGAGGTGGAGTTTGGCATTTCTATCCATCGATCAAGGGGTCTTCTAAGGGGTGTTCATTCAGGCATTTTGGGGCCTTCCAAAGGGGCATCATTGGGAGGTAATAGGTATGTAGTTTCCTATGTTGGTGAATGTTCTAGACATTGGTGGGTTACAACCAAGTACCATTGGTGTGAAGTCCTAGAAGTCAACAATAGTTGGAGGAAGTGTGTTGGCAGAAAGGTAACTCGTCGTTCTGTTTTAGGTAGGGATTCTTTTTTGTGTTTGTTCCGAGCTCATGGCAGTTGGAGACACTTCATTAGAGGGGAAACATTAGGGCAACGAAATGAGATGGCAGATTTGGTAAGCTTCTCCTTTTTGGAGGATGATCAGCGTTTGATATCGAGCATTGGTTATGGTGATCGGGCTTCGACATGTTTGGACCATCTTATGCATAAGTTACTGACTGCTGCGTTTAGAAATTTTAGATCTAGTGGAACTGCTTCAGATTTTGGGTTGCGTTGGATGTTTGGCTACCCAGCACTTGGTCACATCGTGGATGTGAGATTTGATCCAATTGCACATTTGAGATTCAGATGCTCGTTTGGTTATCAGTTGGGAGACTCTGATTTTGTTCTGAGCAAGTATGTCACTTTGACTCTTGGCAGGTAGAGAGTGTTGATCAGATTATTAGGATATCACAGCAGGTGGAGTGTGATGCCACTTTACGTTGGGTGGAGATTCCTCCATGTTCTCCAGATCATACTGCATCGTTTGTGATTCCAGCTGAGGTGACACAGATTAGGAATCATATTGTTTTGGATGCAGATGATGAGCCAGTTGATTCGAGTACAGCTGGTGGACATAGTTCAGATTTGGTTATGGTCGTTGGTTCACCTCAGGAGGAGGTGTTTGGTTTGTTTCGCTTTGGGGCCATTAGGAGAGCTATCAGCCACAAAATTTTTGGTGATGTTAGAGAAGGGTTCCAAATTCTTCTAGTTGATTGAGTTCGTTCGTGGCCATTTGGGGAACTACGTGAAGGTTTGATTCCCTAGGCAGGGGATACGTATGCAGTCTTTATGATGTTGTCGATTTGATGGGTAGATACTTACGTTTGGAGTTTGTTCACATTCTCATTTGGGTTCTTGACTTGTTGTGGATTGAGTCTGTTATCATGAATTGTTTTACTTCGTACTGGATGTAACAAGTGAGACATTTGGTTTGGTTGGTGTCAGCTCAGTTTTAGGAGAAACTTCACCGATGTGGAGCATTGTGAACGTGGGGGTCACTTCTCAATCCTGGCAGCAAAACCGTGTGAAAGGCAGCAAAACCGCGTGAAAGGCTTCATGTGGGGGCCACAAATTTTAGCATGGGAGGATTTTCTGCAATCAACATTGAAGAGAAGCGTGCGAGGGCCACGAATTAATTCCACGTGTTTTCACCCAATTGAGGCTATATATATCTCTTGCAATTAGCTTCTAGAGTTTAGTGTGAGGCAGCGGGGGAGAATGTAGGTGTTGGGCGGCGTGCAAGCAAAGGGAAAAACATAACAGATTGTTCTTTGGGCTACGTGCAATAGGGGTAAAACGTTAGAGGCTTGGCGGCTATCCTTTTGTGAGAGTTTTGAGAGATTATTTGAGGGTTTAATTTGTGTGATTGTAAACCCTATTTGTATTCTCTCTCTCTAATAGTAGATCTCTCCCCTCCTTGCCCCGTGGACGTAGGCAACTTGCCGAACCACGTAAAAATTCATTGTCTTGCTGTGATTTGTAATAGCTTGTTTAGGTTCCCTCGACAAGTCAATCCTAGAATTGATGAGAAGAAGAGTGTATATCTCACTTTGTTGAGATATATCACTTTTGGTTCTTGTTTCCTTTGTGAAACATAGATTTAGTTAAGATCTACTCTCTTGTTGTGCACCAGAGGTGCTGCCGAAATTTTTGCTGCGCACAACAAAAGGCTGCTCATGCTCTCGATCCAGCTTCGAGGGGGGGGGGGGGATCATGCTCTCGATCCAGCTTCGAGGGGGGGGGGGTTATAATCACCTCGTAGGTCCTCAACCACATATTCCTGCATGATTAAATCACTCACAAAATTGCAATCCTAAAAACAATCGCGAATTACTAAGTAGATAATAAGAAGTGTAAAAACTCTACCTTTGTAAGCGCGGTGATTGGTGATGAGCTGACAACTTCTTTGGATTTGGCTAGACTGTGGCGTTTGTTGAGGCTGGAATATTTGGTTATTGGTATCATGCATTGTTTGTTGAGGAGTGCTTTGACCTGCAGTTTGAAGTTCTATGAACACATTAGTATGAGCGAGAAGACCGAGGTGGAGTTTGGCATTTCTATCCATCGATCAAGGGGTCTTCTAAGGGGTGTTCATTAAGGCATTTGGGTTCTAACTTTCAAAATCACACTAAGCCCCAAATAAGTTTGCAGAAGACCCCATGGACATTCAAAATGCCTTTTTATGTTGTCTTTTGGTTCTAACTTATCGGGGTTACCTACAAAACTCAGAAAGGGGTCAAAAGCCAAGACAAAAAGCTCCAAAGCTCTTAAAATGCCTTCACAAAAGCTCCAAAGAGTGCCGACCCTGTTTCAGCTGTAAACCCAGCTATTTATAGGGTTAAAGGGGTGTAACTGACCCCTTAACACGTGAGAGACAAGATCCTCCTTCACCAAAAGCCGATGATCCCGCCCTCCTTTAGGTCTTTTTGCTTCATAAAGCTTTCCCAAACTCAAAAAAGAAAAAAAAATTCTAGGGTTCTGAGGGAAGGGTGATTGCTGATCAACGTGGAAATAACAGGAGAAAAGAGGAGAAAAATCGGGGTTAATATATATATATATATATATTTGATTACTAACATATTCATTCATCTGAGAATAGTGTCAACCATAATAAAAAATTATTTAATATTATTTTTCATAATATTTTTAAATTTACGGGGTTTTACAATAATACATGATTGCATCCACATACACCTTCCTATGTAAGTTTGCTACTTTTGAAGAGCTATATAGCCTAACGTGTGAGAAACTATATAGTCATGGTTTAGCACGATTAGAAATCAACAATACCAAGATCAAATACAATACTATGCAGGCACCTAGAATGTATTGAAATAATAGTGCTTTAGCATCATTAGAATTCAACAAAGCTCTTTAAATATGTGGTGTTCTTTGATTTTTAGTTCAATTATGTGTATTTCTTCATGAATTTTAAAATAATATTGGCTTACACTGGTCACTATATATTTATGTTGCACTTTATACATGCTAAAGAGAGTTCAAAAGTGACTAATGCCAACATCCATTCCATGTTCGCACTAAGTCATAGTTCTTCCAGAAACGTTTATAATAAATAAACTGAAGGAGCCAACAACTGCAATTGAACGATATCTTGCACAATTTATAGCGGACATTTTTTTTAGGTATGTAACTATGAAAAATGCTAAGTGTACTATTTCTTTTGTACTATTCCGGTACTACTACTCACAACTGAGGCTTTTCTTTGCCCGCGGGGGGCTTGAAAATTATAATAATAATTCATGATGACTCCACTCTCTTCCGAGTAACGATACGTGCCAAATTAGTAGAGAAAGTATAGTACACTTATCACTACTCACGTAACTATGGAGTTGAAATCAAATCAAATAATGACATGTGTTAATATTCTATTGAATCTAGCTCTGTTTCGCTTTCCCTTTCCCAGTTTTTCTCTCTCCCTCCCTCTCTTTTTTTTCAGATCATAAGCCTAGCTCTCTCTAATTAAGGTAGGTTTATGTTATTATGTTTAGGACAAGATCAAATTCAGGGATTTAATTAGTTCTTTTATGATTGCAAACGGACCCTTTTCCACTTCGTGTAATACTATCACAAGGAGGTCAGTTGAAAAAAAAAAAATCTCAAAACTATTAGAGGGCTGAAAACCCCCAAACTTAAGGGGTGTTATCCGATAATTTTAAACTTAAGGGGGGTTACCTGATAATTGACCAAATGTATGGGGTTTTTCTCCCCACCTGAAATTTACACTATAAAGTAATATAATCAGAAATTCTTTGAACCGTGCATGTGCGAACTAACCTGGCTTGAGTTTGGATCATTTACGAGCCAAGTGAGCCAAAATGGAGGTAAATATCGAGCCAAACACGAAATTTTGTACGCCAACTCCATTTTTTCCAGTTTCATTATGGCAAAATTAGTTTGGTCTTTGTTGATGTATAAACATGAGTTCGTGTGTAGAACTGTGAATCTCTAGAACCTCTTTTTTATTTGGTAATTCAATATTCAAATGTATACTTTTTTAAAAAAAATAGCTTAATAAAGAAATTTGAAAGTTTTCAGATGGCTTGTCTATGATCTACAAGGTTAAGGATGTTCGGTGAAAAATTCCCCTGCGTGGCAGGGAGTTTTTGAAATTTACTGTTAGTTAAATTATTAAACCTTCCCGCATTTATTAACTTGAACTATTCTCATTGCAAATAGCCACTGCTTCGCTTTCAGGGGTTTTTTTACCCCTTCTCTCCTCCTCCTCCTCCTCCTTGACATCAGTGCCTCAAAACTTTCATATTTTAGATTTAGCACCCAAAAATCTTTATATTTTGAAGTTAGTCCCCTCTATTCTTTTAATTTCCTCTATTGTTGCGCTGTGAACAAAAAGGCAGCAGACCTGAAAGCAAGGGACAATGAATTGAGCTTATAGACAAGGTGAAA